CTGGATTCAAATCCCGGCTGGCCGGGTTGTTTACTGCGTGTAAGTTCCCCCTTCTCTATTTCCCATGCCTCCTGTCAATCTCCACTTTCACTACCTAATGAAAGCATTAAAAATGCCCCCCCAAAAAAAGTAATTTGGTTTTAAAGAAAAGAGATTTAGATTAAAATAAAAATTTCTCTCTTAAAGAACAATGTAATCATTTATTGTCCAGAAATTGCATTATTTGTAAATACAAATGTTTGCGGGTTTAGACAAATTAGTTTTTTGGGCTTTTTTATGCCTTCATCAGAGTAGCAGTAAGAGAGAGACAGGAAGGTTAGGGGTGAGAGATAGAGGGGATGACATGCAGCAAAGGGCCGTGGTATTCAAGCCCAGTCCCCTGTGGTTATGGTATGCAAACTACCAGGTGAACCACGGAGGCGCCCCGGGGGGGTTTAGACAAATTAAAGAAATACAAAGCGTCTTCTAATTCCTTAAGGTTCATCGCACATAATTTATTTCCTCCTTTTGTTTGTGTGTGTATAAACCTGTCATGTTTGGGCCATAATTCTGCATTCACTCAGTTCAATAACCTCATCATTCACCATTATACAGAAAAGATATGATTAATTAATCTGCCTCTAAAAATGACATAATGATAACTGTATGTGGGATATTGAGATCTGCATTTAAGCAGATGTTCAGCTGTTCCGCTATGATAAACACCAGGTCTATCTTTCAGCAATAAGCCTGTCTCGTTGTTATGTACGATCCCTTCATGGGGCAATTTGCAGCGTTCTTTTTGGTGATGTCTGCTGTTGCATGCTGTCCTTGTGCTGCCTAGATTGGAGAACATATTGTACTTTTCCACTGATTAAGTCATCATGAATAAGCACATCAGGTACATGTGTGAAATGCAAATGCAAAAATCTTCCAAATCTCAAATAAAAACAAAATTTTCTTTCCATGTTCACATATTAAATGTTTACCTGCTTTTCATCTGTGAAATGCCCAATGGAGAAATATCCTACGGAGATCTTCTACTCCCGTCTGTCAAAGGAATTTATTTTAACCTAAAACATTAACTGGTAACCTAAGAGGTTCACAGTGTGGTTTGATGTTCCATAGCAAAGCATGTATGAGATAAATCTCTCTTACAGTAAAATGTAGTTATCTTGATATGCACTTTACTCAAAGATTACTTTAATCCACCGTAACTCTAAAGTACAATGCACATTTACCTCATATTTCACAGTTAACCATCAACAGCATGTCAACCACAGCTGCTATCAGCACTGCAGAGACAGTGTATTCTGCTTTACAGAGATAAACCCTCCACAAACATAATAACAGTGCTATTTCCTGTTGTTTAGGGCACTGTAAGAGATGGCGGTGGTGATAGGACGAATGAAATTGCTCCTCGTTCAGAGACCTAACTTCTGTTCAAATGTCTTCAAGGTGTTTAACTTTGATGTCTAATTTGTCCCAAGAAACAACCTCTGTAATCACTGCTTTCAGAAGGATTTTGGACTGTTTCATTACAGCTATTTTTGTTGATCACAGTTACAGTAACTCCCAAATTATGTTGTTAGGCATCAATAGTGACGCAAGCAGATAGTCAGGGATACTTAAGGAGAGTGAGTTTCATATGGTTTTATTTTGTTCTGGCTTCACACCAGCGTTCACTTACCCCCTCTCCTGTGTTAGCTGGAAGATAACCAATGCTTTAGTGTTGCTCAAGGTCTGAGCAGTACATCTCAGGCTCCTTACAAACATATTGTGAAATAAACACACGATGCACATTACAAATACACACACACAACTCCATGCACACAATTGTAAAGTTACACAAGAACTTCATTCATGTAATCCAGGATGCAGACCTCAGTTTTGCCTGTCTGTAGACCCTCTGTAGACTGTTTTGTTTTGCACTGCAGCAACAGGTGAACAAAGACTGCCATGTTAAATTGTGGAAAGAAAAAAGAGAGAAAAAGACAAAGGAAATAGTATCTAAAGACATGGAGTCACCTGATTTTAATCACCAGACCTGTCCCAAGTTAATGCCCGTGCACAGAGAGAGAGAGAGAGGGGTAGGTTACGTTTTATATTTATATTTTTTAGTTATCCTTTCTTCAGCTGAGTAGTTGTAACTGTTTAAATGAGGATGGGTGACAAGTGTTAGAAAAATATGTTAAATTTAAACTTTTTCCGGTCCTTGTTTTTTTAGTTGCTATGTGGGCAGGAGCTACAGGTAAATTAGCTAACTTAAAGTTAGCTTTAGCAAACATTAGCTCTCGGCTTTCACAACTCGAATTTTAACTTCATAATTTTAAGGGGTTTTGCTTAAAGCTCTAGCAACCGACGGCCAGTTCAGTTCTTCAATGAACGTTTCAGTGAACCGTACAGTGCTAACATTACCTTCAATTAAAGCTAATGTTAATGAATGTATTTAGGTACGTAGCACACTGGGTAATTGCTAGGTCATTGATGTCACTTGCACTTTCGTCATGTAGTTGGTAGCAAGGTTTTGGGTGTTGTGTTACGAGGACTGAAACAGTTTCACCAAAATAATAATAGCATAACTGTCGGAGAGGTTAGCTTTGAATACAGTATAGTGTTTAGCCAATGTATCGTCCCTTCGATAGCTCAGTTGGTAGAGCGGAGGACTGTAGTGGCTGTGCAGCTGAAATCCTTAGGTCGCTGGTTCGAATCCGGCTCGAAGGAGACTCTCTTTTTTTTCTTTTTCTTTTTTCTTTTCCTTCCTCGGGTAAGTGTTGAATATGCGGATGGTGATCCCTCCTGGGAGCAGCCGAAAGACAACGGCAACATCGACCCATACAGTCTGCATGGCTAACTGTGTCTTATGGTTTGTAATAAAAGAACATGGAATTATTTTAATTTCACTAAAAACTAGTTTCCATCACTATAACTTTTGTAAATTCTGCCTCCAAATACCTACAACCCTACACAGGATTATTGTTTTGTATTGTTTAGGATTGGTTGTATTGATTTGAAACATGTGCAGGCTTGGTGTACCATTTAAGAACATTTAGACGTACAACGTACAGTGCTTTACAGCGTTTTAGGCACTAAAGGTAATGTGAGGATGCTTTCAAAAATAATGCCATTAATAGTTTTTTATTTATCTGCGCACAAAGTGCAGTAAACAGACAAAAACCTAAATTAAATCAATACTGTGACCACCCTTTGCCAATCTAAACATCTAATGTGCCTAAAACGTCTGCACAGTAGGCTATGTATACACTGGGGCTAATAAATGTTTGCTAATAAACACTTCTAGCATGGACCTAAGCTGTAGGAAGTGAAGCTAACTTAGGTTCTTGCCCTGGTGTAACCTGTATCAGACTCCTCTGTTTAATCAGGAGCGACTGTCTTTAAGCCTATGTTTATGGCTGTGGTGGAATCACATTTTTTCCCATTCATTCAATGATAAGCGTTTGAAAAGTCCACAAGTCACTGCAGAAAACTAAATTTAGCAGTTGAGGTTATGTTTGTATAAGGTTGAGATTGCAACAATACAATTTAACTTGTTGTCCCACCAACTTCAGTCAGGCTAAGCACATGTCTTTATTGTAACGTGGTACTGTATCTGTGTACAACAGACTTCTGCCCCCTGTGCTATTATCTGTCACGAGTTGTTTGTGTAACCTTTGAATTTGTTGACCAAAGCTGCCTTTACAGGTCTGTGACTTACCACTTCAGGTTTTTCCCCTCTGCACCTCAAGATGGCAGAGTGGCTTCTCAGCCCAGACAGGTAAGTGCTTTTTAACTGGACTGGAAAACTTCTGACAAACTTACTTCCCCTAAGGTTGAACACACAGGGAGACATTTCTGTCTGTTTACCCTGAGTGTGCATGTATTTTAGATTTAGACACAGATAATTATTTATATTTCATTAATTCATGAATGTATATTTTACTACATCACTAATAATTACAGATAATTACTGAAACTATCAGTCAGTTCACTGATTTACAAAAAAAAGATTAAACAAAAGAGATTTTTGATAGATGTCTGATCTTAATAGTAATTTATGTAATTTAAAATGCCAGCATTGTTCCAGGCTCCCAAAAGTGAAGATTTAAACCTTCTTTGTGTCATAGAAAATCATAAACACAATATCTTTGGGTTTTAGACTGTTAGTTGGATAAAGCAAGAAATCTGAACGTCACCTACACCTCTGGTAATTTATAATTCACTTTCTGGTTAGCGGTTAGTCTTGAAGTTCTTCAGTACAACTTTGAGGTATTTGTAGTTGACTTGAGTGTGTCCTTTTTTATGCTCCATTTCATTTCTCAGAGAAATATTGTCCTCTTTACCCCACTTCATTTATTTTACAGCTATAATTACTAGGTACTTTTTAGGTTAACATTTTACAAAACATATCAGCTTTTCAAAAACAATTCTGTTAAAAAAAAAAAAAACAATTTCTAAAAGTGCATTTTACACTAAAAGAAGTAAATTTATCCAATGTTTCAGTAAAACAGCAAAGAAAAGTTGTATATAAATGTGTGCATCATAAATCAGGTTTTCCCTCTTTCCTCTCCCACTAATCAGCTCATGACCTCTCAGATTTATCTTGTGACCCTTCAGAAGGGTCCATCCCCTATTGTAGGTTGGGAAACACTGGAATAAACTTAAGTGTACCTCAAGTAAGAAGATAAAACTAGCTCCACCTTAAACAGCTACAACAGTAAAATTCTGCTTACACACTGATGCAGCAGCAGAAACAATGTATTAATGTATGAACATGTCATTCAAGGGCATTTTACTTGTAAGTACCTTTTGCTGAGGATCCTTTTGTACTTTTACTGAAGTAGGATTTTAAATGGAGGACTTGCTTGTAGTGGAATATTTTTTACATTGCTATATTGGTACTAAAGTAAAGGATCTGAGTACTTTGCCACTGTGTATCATTAGGTAAAATAACTTCTATCTACTACAGACGTATCCAAGTGAGCAGAGGCAGGACTCACATACTCAGACAAATAATTAAAGAATGCAGCTGTTAAAAATTTTATTGTTGTCTAAGTTTGAAATGTAGAGATGAGAGAGATGTAAGATTTCATATAATTACACCAGAACAACAACATAAATGTAATCGTAGTAATGTTCGTGCTACATCATTAATTTCATATGAAAATGGTGCAGTGGCTGAGGTAGTCATGTGGCAATAACAACTAAATTAGACATTTTAAAGGGACAACAAACGTTTAGATAAATACAACTCTAATGCACAGTGATGTGGGGCAGTGTATGTGCAAGTTCAACACCCAATAATTACTAAAGAAATATACACTCCCTGGCCACTTTATTAGGTACACCTATACAATCTAATGCAATTCAGTACAACAGCTCTGCCACATATTTGACCTTTACAAAACTTATGATGTTATATTTATATAAAGTTTATATATAGTTTCAGACAAGTGTTAATTCCATAAGTCTATTAGAGGTCGTGGTTAGCGGTGGTGTTGTACTGGACTACATTATATTAAAATATGTTTCTATTATTCCCATATGTTTGTCAAAACTGAACATTATTATCTTCATAAAGGAAAAATGTATTGCTGGGCTGTTGTATGGGATTGCATTAGATTTTATGGAAGTCACATATAAAATGGCCACTGAGTGTGCATGTGTGTAGATATAGTACGCCCATTTCTTAAGTTATCAACATATCAAGGATTAAAAATTTTAATGTCAGAAATCAAAGTATGAACTTAGTCTACGAGAAGAAACAACATTGCATCTTAAAATCAATGTCCAATCAAAGATTTTGTTTGGTTTTCATTCAAACTCACAAAAGCCTCAAATACTTTTAGTTGTTGCAAAAGGAAAAAAAAAAAAAAACATTTTTGAACATGCATTCACTCATGACGGACACGCTTCCTCGGCGATGCTGGAGGCTCCAGGGAGAAGGCAGTAGGAGAGACGGGACGGGACTCTGGGATGTACTCTGTCTGATACTTGTCAATGTAAGGTTTGGCCACATTCCACACCTGAGTTGAAAATATAAACATGCAATTTAAAAAAAAATCCATCCCTGTGGAGCTTACATGTACACAGATGGTGTACACATTTTATAGTCACTACTCAAGAGTCGGCACTTGCCTTCTGGTCAAGTAGGAGACGGTGAACAGCTTCGATGTCTGGAGACATGAATCTGTCTTTAATCCAGGGTCTTTTAATGACAGAAGAGAAGAAGAGAGTCAGAAGTGGAACAGTGGATAAATATTAACTATCCTGTTCATCATTTCACTGGACTGAGAGATGTGTACCTTGGCCACATCTGTTTGACTTACTTGACCACACTGCGCACAAGTTCATAGACCTTCTCCAGTGGAGTGGTGGTACGAAGTGGGCGGAGGAACTCGATACCCTGACAGGCAACCAGCAGCTCTATAGCAAGAACTAATCACAGAAAACATCAATTAGATTTAGCAAAATGTTTATTATTGGTAACGAAATGCTAACCAATAGGATACCATGTTTCTCATTTGTTATTTATTAATCCAGTTTTAAGTTGTAATTATTTAAGCCACAAAATTAAAGTGTTACACAACTTTTGATGTCACTGCTCTTGGCATGTTACATGACAATCCTGTGTTTGCGTTACGGCCACAGTGCTGCTGGACACAGTGAAATGGATTATACAATGTGTGGGACCGGACGAAATATTATACATGACATCATATAATAATAGAAATATTAAAGAACAATTGTCATACAGCCTTCTGTACTTTTTTTTAAAGTTTTCTTTTTCAGTCTGTTCCAACATACAACAACTATTGTATCTTATTCTTTCTTTTCTTGTGAATAATAGAAAAGAAATTTGGCCACAGAGGCACTGATGTACTTATGTATTTTTTAACCTCTAGTTTTATGTTTAACCACTATATCCACTCAATGTGCTTTGATTTTAGACCATGCAAATGTTTGCTGATGCTGCTTTATCCGCAGTGTACACTGGCATGGTTTTCAACAATGTTACCTTTGCACTTTTTTGTTACAGAATCACCAGGAACTGTCCAGTTAATCTCTTTGAACCAGAGGCAGCTGCTGATTTAAAGGCTCACATGAAACTGTGGGGTTTGCTGTTAATTTATGTACAGTGACTCATCTGTGTAGCAGCTCATGTATTTGTGACTTATCACTTTGAAGTCATGTTTCATGTGTTAAGTCATTTTATTGACTGTTTATTGGTAAAGTATTTCACCGGAGGCCTACAGTCTCTACTTTAGAAAACCATGCAATAGTTGATTAAATTGGAGTTTGTAAATGTAATAAATGAATCAATGTGGAAATGTTTTGATGCTCACATTTGTGCCTCAAAATGAAACAGAAGCACTCTAATCGGAGCTGTCTTATTATTAGTAGTAATTTACTTGTAATGGCAAGAAAGAAGCTAACCTTGCTCCACATGCTCTACGACCCTCAGGGCCTTTCTAGCAGCCCAGCCTCCCATAGACACATGGTCCTCTGTGGCAGCACTAGTAGACAAGGAGTCCACAGAGGATGGATGACACAGAACTTTGTTTTCTGAAACTAGACACAGAATAAAAAAGGACATTAGAGTTAAGGTTCATACTGAATCATTCAGCAAAAAGGGACATAAATACGGAAAAATGATAAAATGCTGTTCAACTTAAAAACACTGAACATCTTTTTGTACAAAATATTCTACCTGAAATTCATATTCAGTATTAAAACCTAGTCTACCAACAAAAAATCTATTTTATTATGCACTTTACTTATACTCATGCTTTATTTTGTTTAATATTTTAGCACACCGACCCAAGGCAGCTGCGGTACAGTGGGCAATCATGAACCCTGAGTTGAGTCCTCCCTCATTGACGAGGAAGGCAGGCAGCTCACTCAGCGAGGGGTTACACAACCTCTCGATCCTCCTCTCACTGATAGACGCCAGCTCATGGACTGCAATGGCTAAAAAGTCCAAAGCCTAAGAGAGGAAAGAGCGGTGAAAGAGAGGAGAACAAAATCTACAACAATGACCAAAACCTTGTTTGGTGAGTCACGAACCTTAGCTGGATATTCCCCGTGGAAATTCCCACCTGAAATGGTCTCACCTCTTTCCGCAAACACCATCTTGTACAGCTGTTAAGAAAAATAGATCGCAAACTGATTTCCAATAAAAATCCAACGTACAATTTGTGGCAGAACCTAGAATTTGTGGTTGAACCAATTTACAGTTTAAAGTGCAGAGACAAAAGTGGCACATTGAGATTCACGTAAGAGACTTTGCCTCCAGCTTGCAAGTCAGGGAAGGATACAGGGTTGTCAGTGGCACTGTTGATTTCCGTATTGATGATGTTCTGGACAAATTTTATTGTGTCATTGGTGACTCCGTGAACCTGTGCAGAGGAAGAGAAGGTTATGCTCAAAATCTGAATACTCTGCTTCAGGACTGCATCCCTCATATGGGATCTACCACATGAGTTTTTCCTTCTCCTAACTGAGAGTCGGAGGATAGAGGGTGTACAGAGTGTAAAGCCCTCTGGGCCAAGCTTGTGATTTTGGGATATATAAATAAACTTTACTTGAGGTTACCTGAGGACAGCATCGCATGGTGTAGGCATCCTGGACTCTGTCACAGAAACGGTGGCTTTCTGGAAAAACGCACCAACGCCAGATGACACACATTAAGTACTGCATGTTTAAGGATGCAATGCAGGCACAGCGTTGCCAAAAGCTATATTTGATTAAATCCTTTGGGAAAATACACCCTCTGCATTTGACCCATCCTAGCTATTTATGGTACATTTTATGGTATGTGGTACAGTGGAGGGCCAAAGCGGAGTGTTCCCGCCTTGATCACGAGCAGTGGTAAAAAATATTTCTTATAGAAACCCTGACAAACAGAGAGACAACATTCAGCCGCCACACAGTGTGTCCAGTGTGAGCCTTAGCCCAGATATTATGTGTGTAACGATAACTTTGCGTGACTATTTTATCATGTTCTGTTGCTAGAATCCGGGTCTGTCCTCTGACCTGCAATCTGGGATGGATGGTGATCGGAGTCCAGCAGTGAGCGGAAGCGTTGGGCCACCTCTATCTGTCCTGGGTGGGGCCGCAGAATATGGATGTCTGTATGGGAGGAGACCAGAAAATAAGAAAGGATGGACAAGATGCGTGATCTTGAAACTGGAGGTAAATACTTTCATCTACTTTTGTGACTTTGTTCACCACCACTGATGCTGCTCACCACTGTCAAAAGCCTTGGTGGTTCCCTTTAGCACCTCCAGGGTGAGAGCAGCGACGATGTCTGCCTGCTGCGCGATCGCCTGGGCTCGCTCCACAGCCTCCGCCCCCAGAGAGGTGATCATCTGGGTCCCGTTGATCAGAGCAAGGCCCTGTGAAGGACAATAAGACGTTTTCTCAACTTAAAGAAACCACTACTTCTTCTAAATTCCGTGAGAAAACACAATGCATTCCCAGTGAACCCTGGGTTGATATCTTTAATACGGGCAAATCAAATAAGAGAGCGCGTGGTTGGATTTAAACATAACCTCTTTAGGCTTTAGTGATATTGGCTTCAGTCCATGGGCCTCCAGGACCTGACCAGAGATGAAAGGAGAAAAAAACATGTAAAAGGTCAAGGGACATCAAAAAGCAAACATGTTTTCCTATTGGATCATGCAACCTTTCACTTTCACAAGTAAAAGGCACATTTCCTGCAGCATGAAGCAAGTTATTGTTTTACAACCACGAAAAAAGTCATTCTGATCTTACATATTTGGCATCTGCCCAGCCGCTCTTAGGAGACCACATTTTACCCTCTCCCATCAGCCCTAGGGCCAGGTGAGAGAGGGGTGCCAGGTCTCCACTAGCACCCACTGTTCCCTTTTCTGGGACGAAGGAGAGGCAGGAAGCTGTAGGGGCAAAGTAAGAGTCATATGACAGTCCCCAATACTAATCCTTACATGAAAATATCAGTCAATTATCAGTTATCTCAGTCAACTGAAGCTGATAGCTCAGGTCAGCTAAGGTTAAGTGAGGCTGTCGGGTGCAGTTGAAGCTTACCGTTGAAGGCCTGAATCATGGCATGAAGGGTTTCCAGAGAAATCCCACTGTGCCCTTTGGCCAGAACATTGATCCTCAGAGCGAGCAGCATGCGGGTCCTCTCTGGGCTTAACGGGTTCCCCACACCTGCACACCACAGCATATCATTGATGATGCTGACATAAATACAGAGGTACCTAAAACACCTTGTCAGGAGCACTGGATATCTGGAAATCTTCAAATCGAAACAAGAAAGTAAAGTGAGCTTTATGGAGACTTTTATTACCTGCTGAGTGTGACCGCACCAAGTTCTCCTGCAGCTCCCTGTAGGAAAAAAAGGGCATGGTCATAAATCACCACATAAGAAAGGGCTCATTCTTCAACAGTCGAAGGAGGAAATATATAATAAATTATTGTCCTTACTTGAGCTTGCTGACAGGAATGACAGTTCGGGCAAATTTGCCAAAACCTGTTGTGATTCCATAGACAACTGGTGGCACAGAGAAGTGAAAACAGAATCATTTATTTCTGGAGACTGTAGTTTTGCAGCAGCTGGTTAACATTCAGATCAATGCATTTAATGTCTTTGCAGATGGACATTTATTCTTAAATTCATCTTAACCTTTGTTTTCTTTGACAATGGTGTCCAAAAGGTCTCTGGATTGCACAACTTTTTTTTCTGCCTCCGGAGTCAGCTGAAAATGTCGGTAAAGGAAATGATTACACTAAGTCAAAGATTACCACAGACAAGCCATGACAACAAATACAATTTGTTGATCATTACCTTTATCTTGTAGAGTCCTCTGCCTAAGTTGACCAAATCTGTCGATGTCAGGCTGCTGCCATCCAAGGAAAGATACTGTACAGGGAGATGTGTGTTAAATAGAAGTGGAAATATATCACATGTTTTCAACTTTTGCAGAAATGGGTAAAGTGAAAGCTTACGTCTCCAGGTTCTTTGTATGCTGCTGTTCTTTTTCACATTTTTTAATTAAGGATAACATTCAGCAAAATATAGTGTTAACCCTATACCGAAAATAAGACATTATTTTATTACAGAAATAATAAAGCCCAGTGTTACATCATTAAATATATGGCAAAGATTTATTTTATTCTTCCAAAAGTCATTGATACCCACAGCCGAAAACAATGTACTGGTATGAACAATGAAAACTCTATTTAGTACCATCAGTACTTACTACCCACTGCAGTACCCAGATACCCACTATGGCACAAGTACACAGGTTTGAGGATACAGATGAGAAACTCCAGGCTGACACGGGATGAAGTCAGGAGACATGGTATCTCCTTCAATAGCTGAAAGTACAAGATAACAATACAAATTGTACGCATTTTCTCTCATTGGTTGATACTGTAATTACCTTTAACGTTTAGTCATTACGTGACCGGCTATGCGCAATTACGCACAAATTACGCACAGCTAGAGGTAAAAGATCTCCAGTGTCCCTAAGTGTAATGCAAACACTTCTTATATTTTTTCAAGCACACGGTCATTACCGAGCTCGACAAAGTCATTGTCCTCCAGCACATCCTCGATGGTGTCATCCGCATCCAACAAACCCAAGCCCTGGCACCTGCGCACAACGAAGCGCGTGTCCTTCACCGCTGTGATGCCGCCGTTGTCTGGTTTGTTCTTGATGTAACGTTTTAGCGCCTCGTGTCCGAGCCACCTGATGGGGTTGGTGGTATCCCGGCACGGCACTGCCAGCCACTCATCTCGGATGTGGACAGTAAAACGAGGCATTGCGCTTTAGCGGGACTCTACTGCAGTGAGCGCTGCTCATCGCTGTGCAAAGTACCACCCTCAGCTTCAGCAAGTTTCGCCACCAATCAGACGCACCGCTGGGGAGTCCCGCCTCGCCGGTGTCACACCTCTGGGGACCACTGACCTCCTCAGGTCAGTACACAGATGTTTGGACATATTGTAAACGCGATGAGTGAAGTTTGTTTGGAGATATTTTTTGTATTGGTTGACGCGTAGCCTGTGTTTTCAAAGAAACATGTAACATGCAAACCAATTATTGTTCCACTACCAACAACAAATCAAGTATCTGTTGTAGTTTCTTGTGAGGACAGTGAATTTAATTCTCAAAAGGACTTGAAACACATTCCACAAATTACACTGGAATCCTATTACTAGTGATGCCTTTAATTGCTATCAGACATTTTGAGTGAATGTAAATGTCATACGAGGTGGACACAATATTATGAACATTTTGAACTCAATTTGTTGGTTCAACATAATGTCAGGTGGTAGAGGTGCAACAAATTAATATTTTGATGTGATTACATCAGATTTATTTCTGCAAAGATTAAGTTCATCACCAAAATCTCACATTCTACTCATTTAATTCTCTGATTTAATTTCACCGGATATTAATAAATGCAATTATTAAAAAAAAAAAAAGCTCAGTGTGTCTACATTCTACTATCTACTGTTTTCAAAACTTTCTTCAGGGATGCAGTCTATCTTTCTCCCCATTTTACTCTGTAGGAAGGACCAAACAGAAATATTCTAATTGTCAGAAGGCCTTTTCAGTGTCTTTTTGTGGAAAATGATATAAACATTGCAATTTGATGCACTTAAAACTAATGTATTGTTTTTACACCACTGTTACATATCCAACACCAACACTACCATAACCTGTCGGTCAAAAAATGACCATGGTTTGTATCAGTGATTTAAGGCTCGCCTGTGTTGATAAAACCTGAGCATGTGTTCGTAATGATCCCACTTCAGTTGCTAACAATAATGCCTCAACCTGAACCTTTACCTAATCTCAAATGACACTTTTAGACTCGATTGAATTTGCCTTGTCAGATTCCTTTGTTTGTCTTGCATCACAGACCAAACACTGTTTCATAATAACACAAAACATACATTACAAAACAATCATTCACCAAATGGTTTAAAGTGATTTGCACCATCCTTGGTTCAATGCCAGTTGAGGACCTTTGTTACATGTCATCTCCCTTTGCTCTTCCAGTCTGTTCCTAAAATCAAATAAAGGCAAAAATGTCTCAAAATGAAAAAAAAACATAACCATACTCATCCACATTCCCAAACATCCTAAAATCTTATGGCATACAGTTTTAGCAGCCGGACTGTAGTGCTGCTTCCCTGCACAGTAATAATAGATAGACTATTAAATCAACATGCAGGAACTGAAATTAATTATTATATGTCATTGTTTGATATTTCATGTTATTAGGCTAATCACCAGTCTTTGTTAATATTGACAAACATATTCAAAATACCGCAACAAAATAAGTGCTACTCCTGCATGCGTTTTTCAAATGAAATATATTTGTTTTTCCATTTCTCCCACAATAATTAAGGACACATAAAAAGTAAAAAAAGAACAAAACAAACAGATACATCCTAGAACTGAACAATAATTATAATGATACTAAAATAAAATAATAATACACATGGCATTAAAATAAAATGCATGCAGTATATAACAAGTAAAGTCAATTTTTATCTCAAGGCACTTTTCACATAGAGCAGGTCTGTACTCTTTATAACAAGTCAGTATATAGTGATGTTGCTAAGAGAATCATTTTTGCACATATAATTCGGGGCAAATATTTGCACAATTCATTTGCATAATCCATGGTATTCCCCTGTAAATCAGTATGTTCTTATCTTTAAGAATTAATTCATATTTGCACAGCAGCTGCATTTATGAAAGACAATAAAGAATGACTTGTGTCACTTAGTTGTGCTAAGTATTGCACGTAGTGTCCCTATATCCTGATGCATGTTTCCTCTGCTTCACGGTGTAATGGCGCACATTAGCTCAGCAGTGAAAGTAAACAGGGTAAGACCTAAACTCACATGACTTTAGGCCCGTGAATGGAAATGTTTGAAGTAACGAGGCGTGCCTGAAAGCACCACGCTAGCCCTCGGACTGATGATGTCAGTTTATGGGCTGTAGGAGTTTCTGTATCACCATGTGTGCCGATCCTGCGTGAGCGGGCCTACTGCTGCTGGCAGTCAGCGGGCAGGCAAAGGAGAAGAGGAGGGGAGGAAAAGTGTGTTTACACAGACGGCAAACTGCCTGGGGAATCGTAGGGGAGAGGAAGTCAGCCGGCTCTGTCTGCCTGCTCCAACTTCCTGCTCAGAAAAAGAAAAAGCCCAGGATCCTATTTCAGTCCAGCACAACTGTGTAGACCAGAAGTAAGCATGGAAAAACAAGGGATCACACAAGCTTCACCGTAAAGTTTCACGGAGGGAAAAGACAAAGTCAGAGATTGCAGGTAACGTAAAAGAAACAGAGTCTTTCTATGAACGGCGCTTTGTTGGCTAATCTGTGGCTTGGAGACAGTGAAATAATGCATGATAAGTTGTATCAGCGACCGTGTTCACACTTCATATGAAGTGTCCGGGCTGTAAAAGTGTTTGACTTGTGTTCAACTCTTCGGATCGAGTGTATTTCTAAGTTTTAAGCAAGAGTAGTACCGATTTAGTTTTGGACACAATTGTGCCGTCTTCCGGTCCGAGCAACATCTTGAAAATGAGTCAGTGGGGCAGAAGAGTGATCCAGACCTCTGTGCGTAACAGTTAGTGCAACTTTCGACTCCCGGATACAAGTGTAGCCTCACCAGAAACGGAGGCAAACAAAAGGCGAACAGGGCAAAAAAAAAACACACACACACAGCATCAGAGTCCATCGCCTCTGTTTAGAGATGCTTTTTTATGGGCCCCTGTTGAATTTTCCACCGTCTGCGAACAGGAAGAGAGCAGATTTAGTCATGGCTAAGTAATGTCTGCACACACCATCTAATCTCATTAGGAGTTTCCGTTCAGCCAACACACTGGATGGCTTTGTGCGCGCAGCGAGGCTTCTTAGTCTGAGCATCCGCAGCAGGGCTCCTCATCCCCGACCAAAACCACCACAATGTTCCTGTGATATTCCTAGAAAGAGTTTTTTACCATGGCTGCGGTTCTCACAGTGACTGTAGTCACCCAGTTGTAGGGCTGTGATATGGGATTTTATCTGTGTGGTAGGCTTATCACTCAAATATTCATGTGGCGTGTCAGTTGTGAGGCTATTATCACTATGTTGTACTAATGTGTTTCCAGCTGGTTGCTGTCTGAGGTGTTTCTGACCTGCAGTAGCTGCAGGACACTTTAAAGTTCCACTGTGCTATTTGCAGCATCTTGCAAAGGTGAATGTTTATAAGTCACACTGGCCTAATTGTAGACCTGTCGGCTCAGCGGCCCCGAATTGGCAAGCCTTACTTTTGCTTCAAAGCGTTCAAAAGCCAAACCAAAGTCTGGGTTCAGAGTGGGTTAAAGGGTGGAGCTGTGGAAAGGGGACAATGATTTGATCTTTTGACCTTCTCCCTCTGGGATTTCTGTGGGAAGTGTGGCAGGACTGGGGAAATGCTCCCCTGCTGTGGGATCCCCTCTCCTCACCATTTGTCCTTGGAAGTAGAATAGGAGGAAGTCCTGACTTTGACAGGTTTGTAGTTTCACATGGCAGATAAAAAACTCAGGGGATAGCTTGTGTCGGAAGCGAGTTCAGCCTCCCTCCCTCCCTCCCTCCCTCTCTCCTGTCTGGACAGAGACGCTGTGTGTAGTGGTTGAAAGGCCAGGTTGTTATCGTTGTTATTGTGAACATCAGTCACTATTCACTCCTCACAACCACAGATAAGACCAAAAAGAACACGAGATGACAACACAGTCAGTCAAGTAGGACTGTGTGGAGTGTGAAAAAATTCAATTAAGTCGCCAAAACCGTATCTGAGGGATAACAAGACAACTCCTTTTTTCCTTTTTTTTTTTTTTTTTTAAATACCTTACTTATAAGGAATATAAACATCTTTCTTTTTGAAACCAAAAGAAATCAGACTTCTCACACCAGCAGCCAAAGAAGAACTTTGGATAAATAAAATTGAGTCTAAGATTGGCAAAACTATAATTTAAAAAAGTAAATATCACCCCAAAGAAAAAGTCAATCACTATCAACTCAAAAAAATCAACTATGAAGCTGATCAGGCATTCACTCAACAGTTTTTGGTATTGGTTTCATCAGACTCATTACAGTCTGTACCAATGAAGTATTGACGTTTGAACCTTCATCAATATGTGGATTATGCCTGGAGCTGATGATTGTTTTCATAACCGATTACTATTTTTAAAAAAAATCTCTAAAACGTCAGAAAATGTTGTTTTTTTAAAAAAAAAAAAAGGTCATCAGTCTCTCAGAGCCTGAGTTGATCTTGTGTCTTGTTGTCTGATCCAAGTCTGAAGTCCAAAACTCAAACAAAAATACAAAACTGAGAAAAGAACCAAACCATCAAAGTTGGTGATGATGCAGGAAACAGCAACAAGTTTTTCATTTTTGATAATTTACATAATGATTGACCAATTATCTAAATTTTTTGCCAGTTTATTATCTGTCATGCGACTATTTGATTGATTGACTAACTGTTACAGTCTGCGGTGACGGAAACAGTCCCCCCCCCCCTCCCCATTATTAATATGTGAGCTCCTAGCAGGCAGACAGGAGCTTCGAGGCTGCACATTCCTCTATTAAAGGAATAACCCACCCTGGGCCCGTCATACTTCCTGTGGAGAGAGGGCCAGGTTGAACCGCAGCATATTTCTGGCTTGAGCTGTTGTTCCTCCTTATATTTTTTTTCTCTTCTGCTGCTGCTGCTACATTACACTACACTCTTCAACACACACTGTTCTATTCATCACCGCTCTACTCTGTCTTACACCACATGTTAAAGCTCAAACAGGCTCGTCCCTCCTCAGCCACTA